GGTAATGAAACTTGAGCATGTGCGATTTTTGCTGAACATCCAACCTTCTCTCCAAACTTTTTAGATAGAATCCTAGTGTGCATAAAGTCAATAATCTTAGCAGACCTTTTACAATTGGGATCAGCTCAAATTTCAAAATGGTAGAATGCAGGAAAATAAACAGTTTGTACAATATTCCACTGAAAACAGGTCAAAGTGTACAAGTTTGGTTCTCTACTTTGAGAAATAAATAGAAGAAGGTGATCAATTGGAAAATGAAAGACCTTCAGTATTAATGTAGCATAGACTTTGATTGGCTGATTGGAATGTCTGTATCAAAGATCAGAGAAATGTTGTGATGGAGACAAGTATGAGCACTTTAGTTGACTGAGAGCATCCTGTTGCTAATTGCAGTTGTTTTGATTGGACTGGTTGTGTACAGTATAAGTACCATGCTGTACTTGTAGTTCCCAGCGAGTAATTGAGGGATTTTTTGTTTGATATGCCATTTCTCCTCAGTAACTGAGTAACCACAGCATGTTGGAGTGACATGTCAATTTTACTTAATAAAATATAGATGGAGATGCTTGACAAGCTGTCTGTCATTCATGTCAGTGGAACGAAAGGCAAGGTAGGGTACATGATGACTATAAAACAGAAACACAAGTGACTGTGTGTTAGTTGTTTTATTAAAGTGCTACTTGCATGAAATGCAATAAAGCAATATAAATATATAATTCACATATATCTATTAAAAACAATTGCAGGAAAATATTTGTTTTGGAATTATCCCACATCAGAGAAATTTTGATTGAAAAGATGGAAGAACAAAAGGATGGAGTAAATGACGTCATCTACTCCAGCATTTTTTGTCTTATTAAAGATTTGTATCAATATCTTCTTAAAATCTGTTGTTTCATGATTATTATACCCATATGGATAGTTCTATTTGATTTCCAAGTCTTTTCTAATGTTTTGCAAATTTCGTCCGAGTAGCTCTTTAATCAAGGCATATCTAAACTACAGTATGATGTACAGTAAGTGTGTGAGCATTTCAAACATTTTAAATCTATTCGATCTTTTGCTGGACCCTTACTCAAAGGCTCAGTAGGGCATCAACATACTGATAAGGACAATTCAAATAACAAAAGGACATTCGCTGGTATTCAGGATCAAATATTTGTATAGAGATCTGTAATATTTGTGTGTGTGCATATTCTTGCCAAAACATTGTCATCATTCTTTGTGACATTGGTCTTTGGTACAAAGTACTGACACGAATCAACTTGAAGGACGTAAAACTAGGTCTCAAGCTATATGATGATATTTTTTGCTAAAGTACTGATCAATGGCGACCATCAACTCATCTGACCTCAAAGAATTTTAAGACCAAAATTCACTAATATCACCTGTATTTCTCAAAATGATGAAGGAAAGAGTTGATAAAAAAGGATATTTGCAAAAGAAGAAAATTCAAAATTTCCCAAACTCARTGAATCAATGGATTATTTTAGCAGCATGAACTGGAAATTTTAATCCTGTCTTAACCAGCAATTACACAGAAAAAAACATGTCTTAACCAGCAAATACACAGAAAAAAACATG